AAACACGTACACACTGACATGGACATTGACAGTCAAGCGGCAGCAAATCGGTGCCACTTACTTCGTATCGTGACGTTGCTTCCATCAGGCAAGGAGGACGAGGAAGAGGAGGAGAAGGAAGTGGAAGACGTAGCAGTTGACACGATGGCATTCAGGAGGACTGAAACCACGGCGACGCCAATAAACTCCACAGTTGACGCCTTCATCGTTCCACAAGTCGCCAATTCAAACTGCAATGGAAAGAATATTCACCCACACTCAGTCTAGCAGCACAACACCAAATCACCTTCCAGGTGCAGCCCAGAAGTATTCAACACCAATCACCAGTTTCGCTGGATAGATGCGCAGCTGAAATGAGCCGCATCGGCGAGGACTCACACCAGAAGGCCACCAACAAAACCGCCTCGCCTTTTGCCAACTACTTCAATTTCCAGATTTGAAGGATATGGAAAGCGTCCACAGCGCAACTGCCTGAACAATGCGACTGAATAGGCGGCCTACAGTCACAGCTAGGCGGCATCGAAAAGGCAACAAAGTGGCATTTAAAGCCACCGACGCAGAAGGTAGGTCCCAGCAGGGCACAACAAGCGCATCTCTTTAGCTGTGAGACCACAATCCTCCTCCTCCACCTCCTCATCACTCTCATCATCTCACCCACGTCACCAATCGAAACAACAAAAAGCTCCTCTTCTTCTGAGGCCGAGAGGAGATGAGTGAAGCGTGACAATGCAATGCCTCAAGGTCAATGCAAAATAAGGACAGAGGGAGAGAGTAAAAGGGCGGGAGAGGCAAGATGGCTCCTGAACTCTCCCAACCATCGCCCTCCACGCTGGTACCACGCGCACCCGTTTTTGACCCTCCCACATCCCTTCACCACCATTTAACTTGGGCCACGCGAAACCGTCGTCTGACCTCACACGCACGCCACACCAGTGCCAGCGCTGCATTCCATCACCTCCTTGTGCTTGCATTTGCGTGCCTCGATGGATGCAAATTAAACAAGTCATTAGCATGCGCAAGCGAGGTACACGCCGTTGAGGCTCGCTTGAGACATTACGGTCACGCCTGCACATCCACGCACCCATCCGACGCCCACCTACCTGACTGACTGGCCAACAGCTACCGCGTCATCACCTCGTACTCCTAGCCCACTTTCTCTCTGACAAGGCCATGCAACGATGGGAGATGAAGGAGGAGGAGGAGGAGGAGGAAAGAGACGGACCCGATTCTGGTTGGATAAGGGCGGTGGAATGATTCCCAGGTCTGCACATCGCAAGCCAATTCACTACACCTCGTCAACAACCACACATCAGGTCAGGCGACAGCTAACCAGACCCACATTCAAATACTCTCAAGCAAGACCACCACGCAGTTAGAGTCCCATCCAATCTGCGTAAATCAAAGTCGCCTAATTCTGATTCACCTTACAATTGCCATTTACTTGTCCATCCACCTGACCTCCTGGCCGAGGTCAATCCACTTCTCGCACGACACCCACGTCATTCCAGTCGCCAAAAGTGAAGCGATGCGGAATGGACCAACAATTTCGACACACACTTCTCCACGTTGACTAAGAGGGTGGAGGGAGGGACAGGTAATCACCTTCGTCGATAAAGTCACACCCACCAGGCAACTTCTACAGTAAAAACGACAACGCCTAGTGAGCCGAAACAATAATCAGAAGCCTGTCTCGACGACGGCGTGTTTTGTGGCCACCAATCGCCATCACCTCCAACTGCGTGCCCCACCACCAGCAACAGTCCACTCACACCTCACATTCGCCGTGACAACTGGGGCCGAGCAACGGAAGACTCGAGGCGGATGAGGAGGCGGGAAGGCATTCTCCACCACAGTGGGGAAGAAGTCCAAGCGTGACCATTTACGATTGAAGACGAAGTGCTTTCGCTTACTTTGAAGAAGAAAGAGGCAAGACATAACGAGGTACAGTAAACAAGGTCATTCCACGTTCCAGCTTGCCTTTAAGTGCTCCACCCCACACAATTGTAGGCTACTTTAATAAGCAAATTTATTTGGGCACTTTGGAACAACCTCGCGAATCGTGAACCCTTCAGGCAGTCCTTTACGCACTTCCACTCCTTCCAACCAACACTCACTTCATAGCCTACGTAGCTCACCCTGTGCTTTTTCACAACTCAGTGGGGATCACGCACAACTAAAAAAGCCCTTTTCTTTGAGTTAGTCTTCACTGGGGAGGAGTTAGGGCTGCACTTGACAACCAGCCAGTCAGACGACGCGATCAACACATCCGAGTTGGCAGCAGTCGGCTAATCAACAAATGGTGTTTCACAAAAACCCCTCGCGCACACCGTATGTCGTCAGTAGGCTAGGAAAGGACCGAGCGCCAAGGCTAGTGAGGGAGACGTTGTTGTAGATTGCGGTGGTGAAAAGGCTCTCAATGCATGGGGATTCAGACGCATTTCACAGTCACAACAGCAGCGGTCAAGGCGCCGCACTGGGACTAGAAGTTGACTTCAACCTGGACAACTAACCAGGGCAGCCTCCAATCAACAATTAGTATATTCAGACTAGCATTGCTACCCAATAGGCCTTTCTAACCGTTTGTAATTAGAGCGCCTGCCCGCTCGCTACTGGGCGGTTCGAGGACAAAAAGCCGATTACCATGGCTCAATTAATGACACCAATCGTCATTATTGCGTTCACCAACCCAACTGCTGACAAACACTACTAGACAATGATTACTTGCAAGCCTTACACTAGCTGCCACAGTCTGAAAATGAAAGCACGACACGTAGGTGTGATACCAGACTGGGAGGAAGCAAAAACCGACGCGTCACACATGTGTGACGCCAACAGCCAACTCATTACTCTTAAGCGAAAGTCAGATGAGAACCCAATTCTTCCGTGATCAAGACTCTCAGAGGATAACATCTCCACCGAAGAGTCATTCCCACCGACTCAGGCAAAGCGACTCTCTCACTCACCCACAACAACAACACACACTTCGGACGCACAAACCGACACACACGTCAGCAAAGCAGATTTCAGACCACATTACCGTAGCGCCCAGACACCACCTACTGCTTTGGCAATTGCCTCTTCACTGAAAACGTCTCAATGACCACAACCAGACAACTTCAAATCTAGTTGCTTGCACCACAATGGAGAAGCATTCGGCTGTCCGAAGACCCATCAGAGGGTCTGCCGAAGCATCACTCGTTGGATGCAGTGCTTAGAGGGCACCTTCGTCAACACTGTCCACACATCAAGCCCCAAAGCCGTTCGAATTGAGGAGAAATAGTGTTGGCCACAAAAGTGGAGAGCATTCAGTTTGTCATCCACCATTAAGAGGGTCAGCTCGAATTAGAGAGGAATCGTCTAAGCTGCCGGTAGTCGAGGAGTGCACATTAGTAAACTCTGTACAGAGCATGAGGAATAGCCTGTGTTTCGCTGTTTTGAGGAAGTTATATTTTGGGAGCCAGTGCAAAGACGTGAATTCTTGACCAATTTCATGCCGGAGACAATCAAAATAGGTCCCTAAACCCACCAAAATAATTGGCACTGCTTATGCCA